GAATTCTCGAGAATTCCACGGAAGACGTGCAACTTCTTTTTTCATATCTAGTTTGCACGTTACGCAATTAAATAAAGTTCATTTTACTATGTACAATTTCGTTACAAAAATTCATTTCCATTCCATTCCGCCGCATTGTAAATTGAGCCTTACCCCTGCTCACAATTATAATTAGGTGGGATAGTGGTCAAGCTGGTTTATAATAATAAAAAAAATATGGATGCCTTATAGAGATCAGTAAATGAGCTCTTTCTAAGCCAATGCGATTTAAAGAAGTCAAAAATCAATCTGCTTAGATCCGCGCAACAAAATAAAATGATGACCTAGTTTAAAGAGCACCTCCCGCCCGTTAATTGCGTGCACTATCCCCGCCACCACTAATCCCAGCACCACTAAACCCAACACCACTTAACTAGGAAAGACACAATACCGTCGATAATACATTATTATTGTATATTGCATTTTTATAGAAGTAAGTGTATCAAACGATCACACAGACCACCTGATATCAAGTGAATACTGTGGCACCTACATCTATCCTCGATTAGGAATCAAAATACAGATGCGTTGTAACCACTGAGAATTAAGTTCGAGTGCTTCGTTTTTAGTAAAAAAAAAGGTCTCCGGTTATCCACACTCACTTAACGAAACATTAAGCTGCTATTTCACGTTTGTATTTTGTGAAAATCTGGTCCTTCTGCGATCGAGTCGACTCATTGGTGGTACAACCACAATATAGTTGCAGCATGGCTGTAGCACGTAATCTTTTTTTTTTAAAACGTTACCCCCACACTAGGATTTTCTCCTGTGTCGTGGAGGCAGTTTACAAACATAAATTGCACAAGGACAAACATCCAGACCCGGAACAATTATTTGTAGGCCATACAAATACTTGTTCCGTGCGGGATTCGAACCCGCGGCCCCCAGCGCAACAACTGAATGCTAAGCCGCTGCGCCACGGAGCCGTCAATCAATCAGACGATGTCATTCATATTCAAGCCCTTCTTTATAATTAGTAATACGAAATACAAGAAGACCTGTTACTGAGATCTATTATAAACTTCCTATAAAATAAAACTCCTCACCACACATATTAGGGAAGATTTTGATTTCAAGGGTACGATTTCGCCTGCTGCCACTGATTAGTTGCTCCAAAAATTCACGTCAGTTTTAACTATTAACTATTAACCGAAGTACTATAATAGTCATACTTTATGTTTTAATTATATATGTTATATATAAATTAAGTCACCATTTGCAATTTGTGTATGTGAAACACGACCACACACGGGAATCTTTCCTAGAGTAGGGATAACATTTTTTAAAAGAGATAAAAAACGTGTGATATGTCAATCATTTATTTATGTTCTATTTATAATACGCGACATTTGCTCATGAATGTGTTGTTTCAAAAGACATTAAGTAAACAAGCCATGAAGGTATGTCAACAATGTTTCGACGACCGCTCACCGCCTGTATATGGTTTGCTCAAAGTTACATAACTTTAAATATTTGATCCCAAGCCGCCGCTCTTATCAAATGTCACAGGTTTGGGCTTGAGGCTGCGACTTAAGTTCCCTGTATTATTATTTATTTATTTAAAACATTATGGTAACGCTCTCGTCACCCCACAAGCGAAACGTACCGAAGCCTTAAATCGCGCTTTCGAAGTTTCCAGAGTACTCCGGTATAAGTATGTAGAACAGATCCGTATATAACATAGTGCATTGACCGCTTCTCAAGCTTTTTTTTTATAGAAGAAAACAGGGGGCAAACGAGCATGCGGCTCACCTGATGGTAAGTGACTACCGCCGCCCATGAACAACTGCAACACCAGGGGAATTGCAGATGCGTTGCCGGCCTTTTAGAAAGGTGTAAGCTCTTTTCTTGAAGGTTCCTAAGTCGTATCGGTCCGGAAAATTCGCTGGTGGTAATTGATTCCACAAAGAAGTTGTGCGAGGGAGAAAACTTCTTCTAAATCGCACAGTGGTGGACCGCCAATCATCCAGATGGTATGGATGGTAACGCGAGTTTTGTCGCGATGTGCGACGATGAAATTGAGCGGCTGGAATTAGTCCGAACAATTCCTCAGAGCACTCCCCGTGATAGATGCGATAAAATACGCAAAGAGATGCCACATCTCTACGCAGTGCCAGTGTATCGAGCCGATCAGAAAGAACTCGGTCGTCGACGATTCGAACCGCTCTGCGCTGGATGCGGTCAAGTGGAAGGAGCTGGCACTGGGGTGCCCCGGCCCAGAGATGAGAACAGTATTCCATGTGGGGCCGAACTTGCGCTTTGTAAAGTTGCAAGCGATGTGCCGGCATGAAATACTGTCTCGCTCTGCTGAGCACGCCAAGCTTTTTGGAGGCCAATTTGGCCTAAAATTTTTTCTTTACTGAAGATATAATATATCTCAGTTCGTTCTCGTTCACTCCATCATAAAAATTCATACATGAAGGTGCTCTTTGTATAGTTCAATTTACAGACAAAATTCATTTCAAGGAAGGCATAAGAGCATCATGATTTCACAGACAATACATATTGGCATACCTACTTAATAACAATAAATAATTTCTTCTAATTGAATATAACATGTAATTTGTAGTATTCATCATCATCGTCATCATTACTACTTATCACTCCTGATCATAGACCTCTCCATCGATATATATGTAATACGTAATAGATTTCGCATTCCGAATATTCACTATGTTCAACTGAACTGTACTGCAAGCCGTACAGTGTGTCATTTAGTGTGGTTTCAATATTCATGCAGTGTGGGGCGTCGCTAATAATATAATCAAGATTTCAAATTAAAGTTTAAACTAAAAACTGAACGCGCAGACGCAACCCGCTTAAATCAACTGTGTATGCGCGACTCTACTATCTCCCGCGCATGCGCGAAGACATAGAGTAGTGCACATTTTTTGTTTAGAATGGCTTCTGTAGTACGTCGTAGTACGTAGTACATATAACTCAATGGACCTCTGTCATAGATTGCTTCCTTATGGGGAGATTTGCCATAGTTTCCACGCTTAGCAGATGAATTGGCATCTGCATTTTTTTTAATTATTTATACTGACTTTCTATCAGGAAGATGCTGTTATTTATACTGACTTTCTATCAGGAAGATGCTGCTGCCCATTTCCAGTTTCAGTTCCCCTCTGTCGCCCCATACACCCACGCGACGATATAGGCTAGTAGATATTGTTACACCCCCATTACGCGGTCGATGGTCGGTGCATAAATCAATTATTCGAATTTATTCTGAAACCGAGCACAGTTACTTACATCCAATTTTAGCGTTCAATTTTAACGGTAAATCGGAAATACGGAAAGCACATCCAATCCTACCCAGTTCAATTTATTTTTCAATCAAATGTCGCAGAGCTTTTACTGCACCGGTAGTTTTCATATTACTATTTTATCTTCGTCGTTTATTTGCGTTTCACGAGCCATTATGTAATCAGACTGATAAATCCATTAGGGGTGACATGAATACTACAAAAATAACTTACTTTAGCGTAATTAGTAGCGTATTAATAAACAATTTTAAAATAATAACTAGCTAAGACCCGCGTAATAAAATAAATTGATGTGACTTACCGAGTTTGAAGAGCACCTCCCGGCCTCCCTCAATTGCGTGCACTATCCGCATCAGCACTTATTCCAACACCACTACATTAGGAAAGACACACCACCGTCGATAATACGACACGTGTTTCGCCTATACACGAGGCATCCTCAGATGAAGTAGACTCTGCGTCTAGCCACCTGATGGTACACCTATATTGTCGGTTATGTATGAAAATTAAAATGTGTTGTCACCCTTGAGGATCATTTATTACGATTGGATTTTATGAGTTTTAAGTTTTTACGCGGAATTCTATTTTTTTTTAAATAAAAGTTGCCAAGTTACTCCTTATTAACATCACCTATCTGCCAGTGAACATCCCAACAAAATCAGTCCAGCCGTTTGGAGATTAGCCGGAACAAACAGACAGACAGACAAGACAAACATTTTAAAAATAGTTTTTTGTTAGAAGTACCGTATATACTTACACATGCATTTAGTAAAAAGCTGTTATTTTACGTTACAAACAGAAACTTCAATTTTATTTATTTGTATAGATTTGACCAATTAGGTAAAGGAGCCTTCTTAACGTCTCACTGCATAGTGAAATATTTCAAATAAAGTATAATAATATTTTTTTTACTTTTCGTGTTTAAGAGATGATGATGAAGAGGAATGATAATTAATTACATAAGAGGTGGCTATGGAATATGCCTAAAAGATCTTATCGCATCCGATAGAAATCAGTAGGACCCTCTCGCTAAAAATAGACCTAAAATACCTGAATCGGTGAGAGCTGTTTCTTGTCAAAGGTGCGAAAAGTCTTGTACTGCAAAAAAAGGCGAATTGACGCCTGCCCATCGTGACGATTAAGACGAATCCTCGTTACGGCGGGAGAGGCCCATGTTCAACTTTAACGGCCTAATAAAAAAAAGAATAATAAATTCTGGGTATATTAGTCTACAAAAGGAATGGTAAAAACTTACTTCAATAGATAAAAGAATAATCTTTTATAAAACATCCAGGCCTAAAAACCCTAGACCATCTGATGCTGTGACCACCGTAGGGTGTGACGTCAATTCAGTATACTGTGAAGGCGTTCCCTTTTAGTTTGCTATATGCTGGTGACTGGTTAAAACGAAACGCAGTCCAGTATACTCTACCTTACCACGAAAGCGCCAGAGCTCACAGTACAAAAATGGTGACAATTTATGACGTCATATATTTCCCTAGGGTATTGCGGCAGTATACTGGCAGTCCATAACGTAACGAATTTTTTACCCGTGAGAGCACTAAGCAGTGGACTCTGTGTCTATCGGAACATACCCAAAAAATCCTAATTTGGAAAAATGTTTATAAAATATTAATTGAAAAAAGAAATAATTTACACTCGTATAATGATCATCATTATATATATTTTCAGTGGATGGTGGTTTCTCTCGCAAAGCTTGCTGGTGGGATTTCGCAAGGCATCTGGACCGACTCGATGCAGTACTATTCACTCGACTCAACAATTGTTCAGTATCAGGCATGGCATCTGTCTTACGGAGGAAGGCGACGGCCAATGTCTACCCACAGATTGGACACTTCTTCTGTAATTTAGAAGTAAGTAGAGCTTTTTAATGTCGTACATAACAGAATTTTACGAATACTGCTTTAATTTATACTAACTCATGATACACAGTTAATCCTTTTTGCGGTGGTAAATTTGTTTAAGACTAGAATCTGTAGTACCTACATTGAGTATTAATATTCAGATGTCTTGAGAACTTAAGATATACTGTCGTTAGCGACTGTCCGCTGGGTTAAGCTGTCGTAAACATATTCCAAAATCTTCGCGAAATGACGCATCAGCATATTCCTAAGATTATATCTTATTACTTGACACTGGCAAAAGTATTAACGTATGAGTCCATAACAAAAATAAGTAAATTAATTCAGAAACTAAAGAGAGAACTAAAGTTTTTTTCGGAAACTAGAGCCGGCGGATTGTTTTACTTGTCGTATTATTTAAATAAAGGCTTGAAGTGAATGTTGATAAGTAAAAGTAGTGTAGTTTTCATGAGATGTGAACTTTATGGGAAACAAATGAAACAAGTGTTTGGCTAGTATTTGAAATGAGGTTATCTTCAAGTTATTCTGTCTCCTTAGACACCTTGAGATAATATTGCCATGACTTGTATGCTCGGTTAAGCTGTATCTTCCAAAGATCAACATATGATAAAGAACAAAATACACGTCATTTTAGGCTGTAAAGACATAGATCCCTTTGCCTTAAAATTGTTAAAAAAGGAATAATAATTGCGGCTGGGTTGTTGCCACTGTAAAGTTAGGAATTATCAAGGGCAAAAAATATCAATATAATAAATCGAACCGACATTTTTAAACAGTATCGATATATATCGCACGATAAATATCGATATATCGTCATCATTCGCATGATGGAAAGATAAGGTCCAAAATTTTATATTACTGAAGGTTGGACGACGAAAAAAAAACGACAGTCAACCGCACATGAATACTTTTGTACCTCCTTTTCTTGTTATGTTTTGTCATTAATACAACATTTTAAAATATATCGAAATTGATACGAATTCGATGCTTTAAAATAAATGTCGATGTATCGATATATCGCGATTTCAAATATCGACGATATATATCGATATTATCGATCGAGTGATATATTTTTTGGCCAAGCCCAAGCCTATGTCAGAGCTTTGGCGGGAACTTGATCGGCGGCAGTTTGCTGCTCCTGTATTATAGTTTAAATAATAGTTTTAAGTGGATTTTGATATGTAAAAGTGGTGCGATTTTATGTATTAACTATCTACGCATATGATCTATTAGCGGAAACGGTGAAACAAGTGCTCTGATGGTGATGGATTCTCAAGATAAGCTGTTTGTTTGCATAGGTGCCTTTAGATACCATCGCCAACTGTCAGCTGCCTCCTGGCTCAAGTTGCCGTAAAAATCTTCCAAGGGCTGCACAATGTGACGGATCAACATATTGTGAAGCAATGAACCATGAAGGATAATTATACATAAATACAAGGCTGTATGGCATAGTTCCTTTGCCTGCTCTCTCCAGCGAATAATAAAAACAACAACAACCAAGCCTATGTCAAGTGTCAATTTAATTTATTTAGCGGGAAATTTCTAATCTTAGATTTTTTGTTTGTGTTTTCGACATGAACGTGATTAATTAGATTAAATTGAAAATATTGGAATATGAAAGCTGTGATTATGATACGAATGCTTTTTAATAGTTTATATTTCGTTAATTATGTAGCATCAAGAGCGAGAAGTTTATGTTTATTTTTAAAATTGCCTCGACATAAATCTTTATTTACACCTTATTAAGGCAAGGAATCAAGAATACTTAAAATAGTAACTAGGTAAATGGTTTGTAGATGTTAGATAATAAATTTCAATACATGCGAAAACTACATTTAGACGTTTTAAATGAACTATTAATACCTAAAAGAACAACTAACCAACTCACTAACAAATATCCCAACTGTAACACTATTTCACGTTTTTTGTCTAAATGCCATTAATGCATGCATATGGTACATCCTGCTGAATGAGAAGATTTTGGGCCATGAGGTATTAAGTATGATGGTTGATACTTTGTACATTATACTTTAATGCTTTGGCCCTAATGGGTGTATTGAGTGTGGCAATTTTATTCAAAATTGCTGGTCTGTACACCTGTACTGTGAACCCAACTAACCAAGATTGTAAATAATCCGAGGAATACTTGCCAGTTTTCGCAATCAGGAAAAGTCATTTGTCTAGCCGTAGATTTAAAACCATAAATAGAAGAGCTCTGCAAACAAATAAATTAATCCTTTGCTACTTGTTATTTTTATACATTTTCTTTTCCCATTTTTTTGTAAAGCATAATATATATTTAATTAATAAAAAATTATCGTTATCTATTAGCTATTAAAATATTTATGCCCTAAAAGCCTAAACTTTGCTAGCATAATTTACATATGTTATGTAATATAATGATGTTAATATCTTATCTGATTTTGAATGATGTCAACTGTGTAGGGGATTATGGAACTAGATGGGTTCCTTCTCTGCCTATTAGTCCATCTGGGCAGGTGTCACTCTTTTAGTCCAAACCACAGGGGTGACAATGCACCTATAGCCTTCATTTTTGATATTCATTATTTCCAGGTGGATTATATGCTTATTTGTCGCTAATGTTTTAAAAAAATACTTTAAGTATAACACTTTCCCACACCAGTGCTGTAGAATAAATTTTGTTAATCTTATTATTCATGCACCAACATGTCAATGATTTTCACATTTTCTTTCATTTTGATATAGTTTTAAATCTTCATGAGTGAGTTCGGAGAATATCCACTACTCCATATTGTCCCGTGGATGTTGTAGCAGGTGACCGAGGGAAATTAAGCATCTTCCTAATAACAACTCAAAATAATAAAAAAATATGGTGTTCAACCCGTCTGCCAAGCATGGCAACTATGGCAAAATCCTCCTTATGAGGCAATTGAGTCCTATGCTCTGCAGTAGACTTTTATGGGCTGTATTTGATGATATAGTTTTAAATCTTTATGGGTGAGTTCGGAAAGAGTGAGCTTACAGTCTTCTCTACAACAACTTATTTTATCTATACAAATAAATAAAATTGAAGTGTCTGTTTGTAATGTCAAAATTACAGGTTTTTACTAAATGCATATGAAAGTATATACGGTACTAATAACAAAAATACAATTTTTAAAGTTTTTGTCTGTCTGTCTCTCTGTCCGTCTGTCTGTCTGTTTGTTCCGGCTAATCTGCGAAACGGCTGGACCGATTTTGACGGGATTTTCACTGGCAGATAGCTGATATCACAAGGAGTAACTTAGGCTACTTTTATTTTAGAAAAAGAATTAGTGTTTTGCACAAAAAAAATTAAAACCACAAATAACACGCGGGCGAAGTCGCGGGAACAGCTAGTTTTTAAATATAGGCCATCAAAAATCACTGTCTTGTAATAAAATATAACCACTCTCAATATTATAACTAAAGCCACATAGCTTAGTGGTGAGAGTACCTATGCAATAACTTAGAAGTTCTTGGTTTGACTCCCAGCTACAATAAATTATTGTGCAAATGGAACTTTTAGTTTCTAAAATGGGTTCTTAGCAGCAATTACTATAAGTGTAGCTTTTAACTATACTACTTCAAAAACGTGTTACTTCACCTAATTTTTTTTAATAGAATAATGGGTGAGAAACGAGCACACAGTGTTGATGTTGTGGCTCATAGACATTTACATTTATCCTTGGTTAAGAATGATACAGATGTATATCACTCCTGAGGCCTAAGAAGGAATGACTTGTTTCCAGTTAAAAGAGTCCTATAATATTTACTACTGAAAAACGAACATCATTCGTTAATAGTGGTGTAAATACCAATGCATACAATTATGGTACATATTAACAAATTTAATATTTTAAACAGTTGCTTATTGATGTAGTCATATGTATGATTATTTATGTAAATCCTAATTTGATGTGTGCCTGAAATTATAGTGTAAATTATTTTGTTTGTAAATTTTACATCTGAGAATTTTGATATGGTTAAGCTACAATACAATACAATACAATACTCTTTATTATATACCAAGAAAAGATAACAACATCAAATATAAAAATAACGACTATTGAGGGAAATACAAAGGGCGGTCTTATTGCTACATAGCAATCTCTTCCAGACAACCCAGACCTCAGTAAGAATTCTGTAGAACTATATTTAATGATATTATTTACTCATGGTATTTATGATAAAATATTTAGTTGAGCTCAGAAATCAAAACTAAGTGATAAGCTATCAAATCTCTTACACCACAAATACTGGCACAAAAATAAAAATAATTCAGATATTATAGCTGACTTCAAAAACAATTCACTTGTAGTTTTTTTGTAATATATGTTATGCATTATCTTCGGCAATTATAAACGGAATTTAATGATTCTTTTTTTTATTAAATAATCTATAACTACTGGGTGGTACTGGTTAATTTTAAAGAAAAAAATCCATCCTTAAGGTTGAAAATAGGGGATGAAGTTTTTAATGTAACTTAGTATTTAGATGACATAGTAGTTATTACCTTTTCTTGATATATTTTTTTTTTCGTCTAATGGTAAGTGCCTATTACAAATTGTAGTAGCCACTGTAGTCTACAGTCCATGGACATCTGCAACCTATTTCAAACAAAAAAGCCTACAGATGTGTTGTCACCTCTGAGGACTATAAAAGGGAATGCCTCACAGCCTGTAGTTATACGGGCTCTAAATCCAGACCAGAACATAGTAGAACTGCTACTTGGGGGCAGAAATAGTTAAGAGGATGTACCCAAATAGACTCTTAGGCAGTAAAGCAGTTCTATCACCTAGTAAAATTCTTCAATACATTGTCTTAAATACCGTCACATGAAGGCTTAAAAGCAATCAACATGTTGATAAAATATTATGAGGATAAATTTTATTAAACAACTTACTCTATATTAATGGTTAAACAAAGATATTTCAAATTCCAGGAACGGCGCGCTTTAGCCAGCCCCGATGGTGACAAGGACATTGATCCTCTGCTGGTGTCGCTCCTGCAAGGAGGCTCTGATATGATGGCGGATTTGAGACATATTAACCTAAAACCGCAGCACTGTTATCGCAGTCCAGATCCTATAAATCTTTACCACAAAGTTGGTCACGGTAAGTGAAAATTAATTCTAGTATGATTGTTATATGAGTATGGCTATCAACTCGTATTTATATGAGTTAACTTTTAATATTCATAACAACCGTTCAGTGATTCACGAAATCAGAGCTAGAATCCTCGTAAGGGCCAATATTTGTCCAAAAACACAAATATTTGTATGGGTCGTCTCGACCAAGGAAGGAACAAGCTCGCTGATAATCCCAGTGTAAAATAGCAGCATAATGCTGCTGTTTTGTATAGTGATTTGAAACTAGACCATTTATAGTAACAAGGCATTCCATTTTAATCCTCGGGGCTGATATTGTATTTTATTTTGCAAGGAGATTTAAGTGTCTGTGAACCACAGCGTGCTGAACTCGGTGATCAAGTGCATGATTCTATAAAAATATTTTAGATCTAATTTTGATGACTGACATATATTTGCATCATAGCCTTCTTCCTATTTCATATAATAAGCGCCACTCTGGGTTGTGCACAAGTTTAGTTGAGGACTCGTGGCACTATAATATTTTTGCATTATATAACCCCCGATAGTTCAGGTGTTATTATGGCCATGATCAAATCGTCCTGGAGAAAATCATGATCATTGTCATAGCTATAAATATGGTAGAAAATATGTTTTGTCACATAATGGACTTGTTTCAGTCTCTTTCCCAGAACTTAGCAATTATGGAGAAATTAGGCATCAGAGGTATCCAACTCCAATTGCTAAGCGACTACCTACACAATCACACTCAGTGCACCAAAATTGATGACATTTTGAGCGACGGTTGCTGTATGACGCGCGGAATTCCCCAAGGCAGGGTTCTGGACCCTACACTCTTTATCTTATATTAATAACCTCTGTCAAATTAATATTCTTAATTGTAAGGTTATGTGCTCTGCTGATATACCGCACTTACCTTTTACAGTCAATCTTGGGAAGAATATATGTTGTTGCACAAACTGGTCTTAATACAGTCCAACAATGGCTTGCCACATATTATCTATCTTTAAATGCAACCAAAACTAAATACATTCCCTTTTGTATTAGCACATCAGCATTAAAAAACTTAAACTTATACTCCATGATTGCTGTATACCACCGCTTAGTTTCTGTACGTGTCGCTCTCTTGAAAAGACCACGAACACAAAATACTTAGGTGTTATAATAGACCACAGACTTTCTTTCGAAGAGCATATAAACCATATTTCTTCCAGATTTCGTAAAAAAATACATTTTTAAACAGCATCGTCATCTTGCTTATACCAGTATCATAATATTTATTTATACTGCCTTATGTCAGTCTATTATTAACTATAGCATAACATCTTGGGGTGGTGCAGCAAAAATCCACATGTTTAGGTTAAAGCGTGCACAAAGACTTATACTTAAAATATAAACATAGATTATTTTCAACAAATGAACTATACAAATTCTGTGAATTGCTCACTGTACGTCAGCGCTATATTCTTGCGACAATATTATTAAATCATTCAAAAACGAAATATAATAAATCCAATCCTGTATTAAACAAAAGACTTCCTTATATTGTATGCACAATACCTGTTACCAATTTATTATTTGCTCGAAGACGTTTCAATTACAGAGGTCCAGTCCTATATAATCATGCTAACAAATTATTAAATATATATCCGTTAACTAAAAGACCGACAAAAATTTCCTTATTCAAATGGGTTAAATCATTAGACTACGAACAGACAGAAAAACTATTTGAATGTATTGTTTTAAATATATATTACACGCACACGCATACACACACATGCGCACACACACACACACACACACACACACACACACACACACACACACACACGCGCGCGCGCGCACACATGCACACACGCGCACGCTCACACACACACACACACACGCACACATGCGCACACACACACGCACACATGCACACACACACACACACACACACACACACACACACACACACACACACACACACACACGCACGCACGCACGCCACATTATTAAAGCATGTTTTTCTTCTTTGTATATACCTGATAAGTAACTTTTACACAGTTTCTCCAAACTGAACAAGTATATTTTAATTTTCACCATGTTTCTGTGGCAAATACAGCGTCATTGCTGGCGATCTCCTGTGGGACGTCATAACAGTACGGACTTTTCTATCCAGAGCGTTTAGTTCGGTCTGAGTCCACCTGAGTATGCCGAAGGTATATATGAGGATGGGCATGAGCTAACAGTTATATGCGTGTGTCTTATTCACGTCCGACAAAGACTCTTGAGCACTTTTGTCAAGCGTGCATAAAACACATCGCAAACTGACTGTTTCAAATCCACCTCATCTATACCCATGTTCTGTGACATACCCAGGTATCGCTATGTTTCAGCCTTGGATAGGGTCCTTATGTTGATGGGCATAGATAAGTCTATGCCCTCAGAGTTAGCAACTCTACCCCTTTCGACATGGAGGACCGCACACTTATCCGTCCCCAGCTCCATTGTAATAGAATGGTTAAAATCAGCACCATGTTTAGCAATTCCACAAGATGTCATCGACTGGAGGCGAATAACTTGAGATCATCATATAGAAAAGGTGGGTCACTTTTGTACCTCCTTTCCTAAGCTGAAATCCTCTCCCGGAACCCTCCAGTAAGGTACTGAGAGGGTTTAGAGAGAGGCATAACCACATTGAACTCAGACAATCGCACTGAAAGATACTTTCTTATCTTTATATGGTTCTCCGCAGCCGTCATCCGCTCGCCTAGATGACAAAGTATCGCACTCCACTGCTCCATACTGGCAAACTGCCAGCGCGGCGCTAAAAAGAATTGAGTCCGTCTCGCGAAGGTCCCGGCTAGCTTCCAAATAGGTCACCAGCATTGGGTTGAGAGCCCTCACGACAGCCCGATTCCGCTTGCTTAAGGGGTATGCGGGAAAGTCGCGGTGGATTTTCGAGAGGCGTACTGCGCGTTTACAAAATAGCCTCTTCCAATATGCTCCTCATTTCCTCTACTTTGTGGGATACTATTTCATCATCGTCTAAATCAACCACAAATGGAATATCCACGGCGGCATCCACATGTGCAGGTTGCTCTGCAATTAGTGGCGCCGCATTACCAGCTGTAGCATTTTCATCCGATGCGGGAAAAGCCTCACGTCGTAGTCTTTAGAGTTCGGCGTCACCAAATTTGTTGGAACGCAAGATATACCGAACTCGGTCTGCCAGGTTTTGCTCCGTTACATGAACAGATGGCTCCAGTTCTGCGAAAAAGCGATGCAGCGATCCCGTTTGCGTTTGCGTTCATAATTTCCGTCCTACGCATGCAACGTGCTCCACCAGCGGCAGGTGCTGCTTGCTGAGTCCAAGAAGACTCGGCCGACACCAAGCCCTCTGGTGGGGATGATGGATACAGGTGGCTGCTAGCTTGCAGCCTTGCCCCCGCGCTCGGCTGGCGGCCCGCATGCTGTCGCGTCCAGCGCCTGCTCCAGACGCGCCCTGGCAACCTCCAGGCAGCGGCCCTTTGCGCTATCTTCTTTTTTCCATCCGGCCAATTTGGTCGATTAACCATCATTTAAGTCGTCCTTGCCGACGCCGCCGTTCACTTTTACAATATAAATTTACTTTATTACTCTTTCCTCATTCATTCTTTCGACTCCAAACTACCGAAGCATTCCTATCTTAATCTTGGTCACTACATCTTGTAAACCACACATTACTCTTATTGGACAATTGCCATTCAGATTACGATTCAGCAAAAAAGCAAATCAACAAAATTACTAGAAATAAAAAAAATGAAGTAAGATAATACCTAAAGCAACTGCCGACGTCTTACAACTGCACAAAAAGCTCCTCTTATTGCTATTTATACAGACCGCTGACGGTGACCGGTAGGAAGCGGTTGCGTCAGCGGTCTGTATAAATAGCAGTTGTTTTGGCTCGCTGTCACTTAGCAGTCAGCCACCGCAGAGTCTAGATCACCTGCAGATGCCTCATGTAGAGGCGAAACACGTCGTATTGTCGTCAGTGGTTTGTCTTTCCTAGTGTAGTGGTGCTGGGATTAGTGGTGACGGTGATAGTGCACGCATTTGAGGGGGGGGGGGAGGTGCTCTTCATACTAGGTCAGACACACCATTTTATTTTATCGAGCGGATGAACGCGAAGTAATTTTTTACCAACTTTAATACAAGTATTTTTTGATTTTTTATATAAAATAATATAAACTGAAATAAAGACTTCTATGTATACTACTAGACGGCAACTACGGAACTAATAATAATATAATATATAAAAATATTTAAATATAATAATAATAATAATAATAATAATTTTTTATTTTCTCACCACAATACAGAATTATTGTACATAATATTATAGTATAGCCTCAATAATATACTGTGGGAGACTGGTGCCTAAGCTAGGCTTTACGCCTGTATTTCAGGACGCCAGGTCTCCGCCCTATGGTTCTAATTACAATACTTTTATTATGCACTCGTACATGTACCATATTTATAACTACATATATTAACTAGTATTAGTGTGTGTGTGTGTGTGTGTGGGGGGGGGTGTGGATGTGTGTGTGTGTATGTATGTGTGTGTGTGTGTGTGTGTGTGTGTGTGTGTGTGTGTGTGTGTGTGTGTGTGTGTGTGTGTGTGTGTGTGTGTGTGTGTGTGTGTGTGTGTGTGTGTGTGTGTGCATGCTTTTGTTTGTTAGTAAATAATATATAAAATAATAATACATCACGCACTAAGTTACGGTAAATTCTCTGTAACTTAAGTCGACTGTGAGCGTGCAAGAAGACTAGTTCTTTGTTTTGTAAACTACGAACGTTGTTTTCGACAATCTAACACTGATTTTGTTTAACGTGACTAAGAAATCGCTGCCATTATTTATGTGCGCATTATGTCAACGTGATTTGAAGCTTATTTGAAGGTATATATTTAACTTAGGTAACTTTATTTCGTATTTGCCTAAAACAGTAAGTGTCGTAAATGAAAATACAACTGCGTGGCATATCTACCGTACCACCTACTTGTGCCCGCGTGGTTTAGTAGTATACATAGAAGTTTTTAACAGAATATTAGAAAAACCGTGGTTGCCAACCAGCCTTATATAACCAGCCTTATATATAGCCTTATATAGATGGAGAACCTATGACGCAAATGCGAGGCCTATGGTCAGCAATAGATTTTTGATAGGCTATAATGAACGAATGAATGAATGAACTTTAAAGGCTTAACCCGTAAGCTACCACGGCATTAAAATGTAATCAAAATTATGTCTTATTTTCAGGTACCCTTGATATGTACGTACTGAATCCGTCCAAGGACTCTAAACATGTTCGCGAATTCCTGAAGCGATGGCATAGTAGTGAACAAAAATTATTTGAAGGTGCGAGTGTGTCTGGACAATTCAATTTTCCTATACCTAATTTAGTTTCAATATGTGCTTTACTTATATGGCGGCCGGCTAATCCTGACGATACGATAACAAGAATCATGTTCCCCGGATCAACTCCGCAACATAAAATATTTGAAGGTCTCGAGAAATTGAAAAACTTAGAATTTCTTCAGCATCCAACATGTACTGGGCGGCAAATGTCAGCCATAATACCTCCTTTAACTACGACACCAACTGCTACATCTATTATAAAATCAAAGCAAGCAATTAGTAAAGTAAGTAAAGAAAGGAGCAGTACTGCAGAGAAAACAAGGGAGGAAAAATTGTCAGAAGGTGAAGAGTCAAAAATAAAAACTAGGGATGTTAGTGATTCCAAAAATATGATAGACAACAAATTACTTAGTGAGTTAGTGGATAGTGAAGATAGGAAAATTGAATCAGTTTTGCAAGAAGCTATCACGGCCAGAGTTGACACAAAATTAGATGATAAATTCGCCCAATACGAAAGCACTGTAATTGATGGGTTACCGAAGAAGAAGGATACTAAGAAAAAAGAAAAACCGATTGAAAAAAAACTAAAACGCATTGAAAAGACTGATGATGTTAAGGAAACTACGCTTAAAACTGCAGAAGTTAAGAAACTTGAGACGGATATAAAAACCAAAACAGATAGTAAAAGAAAACCTGAGATAAAAGCAAAATCTGAAACAGTAAGTTCAGTTTATAGAAGCAAAATTAGTCATCGTGCTGTTCCGAAAAAGACCACTTCAACTATTATTGAAAAGAGAATAATTTCAGATGATAAAAAATCGCCACCAACTACGCCAAAGAAGTTTATTGATACAAGAACAACTACATCCGTCCCAGGAAATAAAGAAAAACTCAAAGTTAAAACGAGACGGCTAAGCCCAGGAAGTACACCAGCAAAAAGCGTAAAAGAAGCAAGTAACCGTAGAGTTGTCGAGTCTAAATATAAACAAATATCTCCCAAAAGAGACATCATTCAGAAATCGGTAGACAAAAAAGAACCAAAACCTAAACGGGAACCTATTTCGAGACGACCAAGACCACTTGCTTCCCCAATCAAGGGTCTTAAAACAACAAAGAGTCCTTCTAAATCTATTAAAGCAGCAAAACTTGACACATCGAAATTAAAAGGCCTGCAAAGGGTAAATTATGAAGATATATTAAAAGATGCTAAAAAATCTGATGAAGAAACGTCAAAATCTCTTGATGATATAAAACAACAAGAGCTAGATGAAAGAGAGGAACAGGAAATTGTTAGGGAAATAGAAGCTGTTTTCAACAGAGACAGTGAAGCTGAGGAAAAAGTAGAATATGTTGGTCGTTCAGATATAGAAAAAATTACACGCTTAATGGATGATACAAAAACCGACGTAACTGCTGATGCTGAATTTGAAGAAGAGTATTTGATAATAGAGAAGGAAGAAGTAGATCAGTTTACTGAGGATTCTGTATTGGATCATGAGTTAAGTCATGAAAAGGAAGAGGAATTACAAAAGCATATAAAAGACAAAGAAGAATGTGAGAAAATTAAAGATGACGCATTATTTTCTCTTAAAGAACCTTATAGATTGAAAATAGAAACTGAAACAATAAAAGATGAAATAAAACCAGAGTCAAAGGAACATTCGGAGAGCTTAGAGGAAAAACAAGACATGAGTAGTGAAAAGAAAACAACGGATAGCAAGAGCGCTATATTGAAAGCTAAAGACTCGCTTGACCTTAATATTGTACAAGAATCTCAACCTGACGAAAAAATCTCTACTACAGTTGAATCAGGTGCCACAACTGCTCCGACCCTTCCTGAAGATGAACGTATAACTTTGGATGAAATAAAAGAAGACCACCAAGTGGAAGAAAAACATATTAAAGAGGAAACAAAAGAAATAATTGCACCACAAACACTTACTGATGTTACAAAACCTGTTTCATTTGAAAGGAGCCCTAAAATTGAAATCCTGCCGGCTCCTCTCAGAGATATTGTAAAAACACCAGATGAAGTTGCAGATCTTCCTTTGCACGAAGAGGTAGATTACAGAACATTTGAAGAAAAGAGAATACCTTTAGATGAAGACACTTTTAAACAGAAACCAGATTCAGGTGTACTTCATGATTTGAAAATTCCTAAAGATCTCCCGTTTTTAGAGAAAAGTATTTCTAAGAAAGCTAGAACTATTCAAGATGATGTAATAGTTAAAACTTTAGAACGGCCGTCTCACGCTGAATTAGTTACAGTGACTCCAGGTTCAGCACCCGAATCCCCAATGTATCATGATCAAACAAAAGTTACTGGTATAACTGGAAAGGATTTAGAACCAGTTAAAGAATACGATGACACACATTACGTGTATGGACAGTTTACTGAAAAGCTTCGAGAAACTCATATTACAACATTAGACTCTCCGATTAAAGATGATAACATTATTGTTATCGACGAAATGCAATCGATGCCTGACAAAATTCCTTCAATACCTGAAGATGTTGAAAAAGAAATTGAAGAAGCATGTAAATTTGAAATGGCTGAAAAACCACTTATTAGCCCTAAAGATGTTGAACGAATCGTAGCGGACGTAGCTGAAGTATTAAAATCAGATAAAAGTCTCGATGAGCTCATAGCAGAAAAGTCGCCAATACTTCGAAAATCTCCCGAGAGCTTTTTAAAATTTGAGACATTAACCGACGGTGAAGGTTCCGAAATCCTAATAAGCAGAGAAAAAGAATTAGAAACTGGCGAAATCAAAATCTCTGATATTAAGGAAATACAACAAATTGCCCCAATCACCATGGTTAAACCTGATGTAACAAAAATGCATCATAAGGAAGTTTCACCGGCGAGGTCAATCACATCAGAAGACATCAGTGATATATCAGATAAAACGGTTCTAATTGATGATAAGAAAATTAAAAATGAAATGAAACATGACACGGAAGCTATTTTGTCTAGTAAAAAAGTAGGTGAAGATACTACTTTGATGGATAAAACTACTAAAATTAGTCAAGAAATTGATTTCAAACCTTCTTTGGTAGAAATTAAAAATGGTGAAGACAAAAAACCAGCAGATGTTTTTTCGGACGACAAGAACCAACTGGATAAACAGGAGAAAAAATTAATATTAACGTTAGATTCCGCTAAAACACTTGAAAAGCTTGAAGAAAAAATTGCTGATTTAAAAAAGAAAGAAGGAGACACTCAGCAACAGTTCGTTGAGAAAACTTTACGTGATTCACAATTAATCAAATCCAAGGACTTAGATGCAATATCGAGATTAGAACAAAAAGATGAAGTTACTGAAAAGGACATAGCTAATCAAATAATTAAATTAGAGAACGATGAATCATTACCAGGCGACAGCGATAAAATGATCATAGATTTTACAACTTTGGAGGAGAAAGAATTTTTAAAAGGCACCACCATCGAAGCAAAGCCAAAGAGTTCAGAGCCCAAAAAAGAAACACTTCTCAAAGATGTTCTTGTAGAAGAATTTACTTCTGAGAAGAAAGAACAGGATAAAATAATAGCAGTACCTGTAAATGTAAACATTAAATCAGAGATTTCAGAGAAAACTTTAATACCAAATGATAATATACTGATTTCCAGTTTGAAACAAGATGAAATAAAAAATAAATTCAAAGATTTTTCACAAAGTTATATCGTTTCTGACAAACTTGACGAAAAGCAAGTAAGTTTAGAAAAAGATGAAACTAATTTAAAACATCATGAAATAGCTACAACTGCAGCTGTCGATGGTGTAGATACTACTATTGTGAAAGAAAGATCACGCGGCTTAGTCGATAAACTTCAAAAGTTCCAGAGTTATGACGAGAAATCTAAACCGGTCAAATTAGATAAAGAACCAACAGAAATGATTAACGATCTATTACCATCAGGTATCCTTGAAAAACCCGAATTAAAAATTTCGAAGGAGCCAATTGTCGCTGGTGAAAAAGAGGTAAAAACACCGAGTTCAATGGACGAAAAAGTGCTCTCTCAGAAATTGACGAAAGACAACACACACAGTTCTGCTGAAATTTTGGACAAGGAGCTACCAGGAAAAACTAAACAAGAAATGCCAAAGGAGGTAACAAGTGCGAAGGAGACAATTGTCACTGATACTGTTAAGGTGACGACACCTAGTCCAATTGAAATTGAAGACAAAGTTGCACTTAAGGACATGCCGAAAGAGCAGACGCCAAGCCCAGTTGAAATTTCAGACAAAGACCTTAAGGCCGACACTAAAGGAGAATTGCCTATGTTGGTAAAAAGTGCAATGGAGACAGTAACTACTGAAATGAAGGAGGAAACAAAACCTTCTCAATTAGAAATGCATGAAAAAGTGTCCTTAAAGGAGTCGCCAACAGAAATAGAGTCTAGCACTGTCCACACCATAGACATGAAAATTCCTACTGCGACGAAGGAAGAGAAGCCAACTAAAGAACCAAGTGTAAAGGAAACAATTGTTACTGATATAGTTAAGGAAACATCACCTAGTCCATTGGATATGGAAGAAAAAGTTTCACTTAAAGAAATGCACGAAGGGAAGACACTAAGCCCTGTTGAAATTCCGGACAAGGATCTTCCAGAAGAAACTAAACAAAAAATGTCAATGGAGGAGATAAGCGCGAAGGAGGCAATTGTCACTGATGCTGTACAGGTGACGACACCCAGTCCAATGGAAATTGAAGAAAAAGAACCACTTAAGGACCTGCCGAAAGAGCAGACACCAAGCCCAGTTGAAATTTCAGAGAAAGACCTTAAGGCCGAAACTAAAGAAGAATTGCCTAAATTGGTAAAAAGTGCAATGAAGACAGTAACTACTGAAATGAAGGAGGAAACAAAACCATCTCAATTAGAAATGCATGAAAAAGTGTCCTTAAAGGAGTCGCCAACAGAAATAGAGTCTAGCACTGTCCACACCATAGACATGAAAATTCCTACTGCGACGAAGGAAGAGAAGCCAACTAAAGAACCAAGTGTAAAGGAAACAATTGTTACTGATATAGTTAAGGAAACATCACCTAGTCCATTGGATATGGAAGAAAAAGTTTCACTTAAAGAAATGCACGAAGGAAAGACACTAAGCCCTGTTGAAATTCCGGACAAGGATCTTCCAGAAGAAACTAAACAAAAAATGTCAATGGAGGAGATAAGCGCGAAGGAGGCAATTGTCACTGATGCTGTACAGGTGACGACACCCAGTCCAATGGAAATTGAAGAAAAAGAACCACTTAAGGACCTGCCGAAAGAGCAGACACCAAGCCCAGTTGAAATTTCAGAGAAAGACCTTAAGGCCGAAACTAAAGAAGAATTGCCTAAATTGGTAAAAAGTGCAATGAAGACAGTAACTACTGAAATGAAGGAGGAAACAAAACCATCTCAATTAGAAATGCATGAAAAAGTGTCCTTAAAGGAGTCGCCAACAGAAATAGAGTCTAGCACTGTCCACACCATAGACATGAAAATTCCTACTGCGACGAAGGAAGAGAAGCCAACTAAAGAACCAAGTGTAAAGGAAACAATTGT